AGGAGCTGTGACAGCAAGGAACAAGATCAGATTTACTTCAAGGAGGGAACTTGAAAGTGTCCAGAGTTGCTGCTTTGTTTGGATGTTAACATGATCTCACTGCAATGGACAAAGTCCCAAAAGTGGAGCCCTGAATTTCAGGCCCTGTATTACAAAGGGTTTAAAAAATTAAAAGCAAACTAAGAGAGCCAATGAAGGGTCTGGAGCACAAGTCTTGTGAGCAACTCAGATAAGGCTCTCTTTGTAAAAGATAATTAAATTTTCTCTTTAGGTTGTATCAAGGAGTAAAAGCCTCTTGTCCTGGCTCCCGGTGTCACTCCAAAAACCAGTGCTTTTCTATTGGGATCGACAAAAAATGTGGGGCATATGGACTATTAGATCACTTACCACTCACTGGCAAATCTGCTGAGAATAGACAGATGGGTAAACATCTTTAACCAGGGCTGGCTGCACTCTATACTGGGCTGATATTTACATTGCTGTTTTTCCCTCTGATAGCTTTAAAATATCCCTGTAATATTTACCTTTTTTTTTTTTTAATTTTATAATTTTTTTAACCTCGAATGCCTTCTCTTAAATATCTTGTGTTCCTATCTAGCCCTTCTGTCTCTCAGTTGTTACTCTGATTGTCTGCTTGTTTTTCCTCCTCGGCTTCCAGCTTTCCCCTTTCCATTCCCTTGCCCTTAAAGTCTTCTTGGCTGATGTTTAATATACCCAAGAGCTTCCAAATGGTCTCCCCTCTTGCTTTGAGACATTGCAGTTGTGTGACCTAAAGCTCCACGTGCTTCTGCCTCAGTTGTGTTTCAAGCACAGCATGAGCATGAAAGGAAATGGAGACGAGCAGTTCAGGAAAGCAGCTTGGAGTAGGTCATGGCTATTTTTCTTTCCTTCACAGATCCCTCCTTGTGGAAGTACTTAGCTGGGCTTGGCTGGTTTGCTTGTCTTATTTTATTAAGCCTTGTGTCTTCATGTGCAATACAGGGCATCCTTCATCGCTCCCTTTGCCTTACAGAGGCAAAACACCGTGGATGTCACTGACTTCCCATCATTACAGCTGATGGCTTTATTATCCAGGTTTCTTTTCCAGGAGAAGCATCGCTGCTGTGGTTATCCCAGAAATATTTCATGTCTGGAAGGGGGAGGAAAAACTCTTGTGAAGGAGATGATGTAGACTCTGTTTTTAGCAGTGCCAGTGCTGACCACCCCTGTGAAGAGTTTGGATGCTTCGCCCTGAGAGCAGGTTGATTCTTCTCTCCCGTGTAGGCAACAGCAAGGGACGGACATTTGATCCTTCCCTTCCCTGGAGAAGAAGGTTTTTTCCTCAGCAGTGGCCTTTGGTTGTCAAGATCAAGGAGAAAGTGACCTCCCCTTCAAAAAAAAAACCATGTATTTGAAATGTGTCCAGTTTGTGAGGTTTCTGCAGACTTCTCAGCGTGTGAAGAGCCTGATTAATTACTGACAAATGTTTCTGAAGTCGTTTTGTGCCTGAAGAATAGGTGTGAAGCAGCGTGTGAAAAGCTCTGTTAATTCTGGAGAGGGTGCACGGGGCTTTCTGCTTTGAATGTGGAACTGTGTGTGCTGCTTTCATTATGCAAGTTATTATACATGAGCCTTGTAAATACGCTGATGAGAGCGAGGGGAAGCTGCTTCATTATTTTGGAGACTCACTCAAAATATTTTCTTTCTTTCTTTCTTTCAGAGACTTGAAGATAGAAAATCTGTTGCTGGATGAAGACAACAATATCAAGCTCATTGGTATGAAACCAACTTTGGCAATTCCAGTAATTAAAATTGTTAGTTTTATAAAGAGAGGTTTTTTTGAGACTTCATAATCCCCCATGTGACAACTGCTAATGTTGCTGCAGAGGAGAGCTGGGAGAGTATAGATAGCAATCAAGCTGTTCCTGACAGCATCTCCTGAAAAAAAAATGATCCAAATAATTCAGCTTTAACTGGGTATGGGCATAATCTTGCATTCTTCAAACCACAGCTTTCATATTCAGCTTGGGAACTTTGTCGAGGATTCAAGAATTGACACCACAGAAGTAATTTATTTTATTATCCTGATCATTTCATATTTGCTAAGGGCTGGATTCTGCCCCCGTATGCA